AACCCACGGGCTCAGGCAATCCACTCACCTCAGCCTCCCAAAGGCGCGGGATTACAGGCTGAGCCACTGAGCCTGGCTAAGACTTGTTTTTTATTGACAAGTCTCTGATGTTCTTATTGTCTTATTTGTATCTTGTAACTATAGTCCCATATTCATTTCAGATGTATTGTGGGAGGCAGTGGGCTGACTATCCTGCAGCAAGCTCGGCTCATTAGCTGAGTGTAGAATCTGTGACCTAGCCTTTCAGCCCTGTGGGTTCCTTGAGTTTTGCCATGAAGTCTTTGTCTCTTCCCACCCCTAGGTGAATTTAAAGACAGGAGTTCCTCCTGACAGCAATAATGAGACGTGCACGGCAGGAGCTGGCTCCCTCCTGGTGGAATTTGGAATTCTCAGCCGACTGCTGGGGGATTCCACGTTTGAGTGGGTGGCCAGACGAGCAGTGAAAGCCCTTTGGAACCTCCGGAGCAATGACACAGGATTGTTAGGTGTGATAACTCCTTCTCTTGCCATTGGTTCTGCATGTTACTCGGTCCTCTTTCCTCCATCTTCTCTGGGGCTCTCCCTTCTCTCTACTCCTTGTAAAGCTGACAACTCAAGAGAGAATGGCCCTCAGTGTCTGCCGTGTCCAATTTCTTTATGCGACCTTTTGCACAGAGTGAAGCTATAATGTTTGATGAAAAATAATAAAGCTTTTGCTGTTTGAGGGCTCCCTTCTGATTTGGATCCCTTGGCATATTCCACTTGAAATTATTGTTAATGGAAATGCTATAAAAGGAACTGCCTCGGAGGCAGATTTTATTGTTGCAATATAAGGTCCTAAATATAGGAATTTAGAGCTATTGGTGGAGTAGCTTTCTCCGTAAACAAAATCTAGGCATGTGGTAGTCGATTGAAAGCCCAGATTAAATTTGTATTAGGTGGGTTTTTTGTTTTGTTTTGCCTTGAGAATGTTTGGTCAAGTTGTTATTTAAAAATTATTGTGGAAACTTTTAAATGTATAATAGTAGAGAGAAAGCATAATGAATAATAATCCCTATGTACTTAGCATTCTTCTTCAATAATTATCAGTATCTTGCTAACTCAAGATGTTAGTTTAAAATGGATTTTACCTCATGTAACTGTTTTAAGTTCTAAAAATGTATATGCTGGTTTGTATTTAATAATAGCAATAGGAGTAAAGAAGTCACTCAAATTGTCGGTCTGTCACCATATGTTGACCAATGTCACTCTAAATTGCCAACTTTTTAGCTTTCCATAGGCCCTTTCAGCCTAGCGTGTGCAACTTTTATATGTTTTCAGTTATAATATAAACAAATTGAAGGGGAGACTAAAAAAAAAACAACCCAGAATTATCTTTTGGAGGGTGGGCTCCTTGTAGTACAGTCTTCCTCCGCTAGGCAAGTGTTCTAGGAGCCCATTGGCATCAGGATACCAGCTAACGTTGTTGTGAGAGACTGTTTGACTTCAGTGAATTTATTTTGGAGATTCTTTCAATGTGTTTGCCCATTTCATGATGAGTTATTTAAGAGCACACCTACCCACACTGCACTGAGTGTTCACTAATTTTTGATCAAAAATGTAATGATCCCCATGCTCCATCCTCCCTATTCACCTGATCTTACCCCAAGTGACCTTTTTTGTTTCCCTGGATGAAAAAAGTCCTCAAAGGGAAACTTTGCTGGTGTCGAAGAGGTGAAACAAAAAATGGCAGACGGACCAAAAGGCATCAAAAAGGATGAGTCCAAAAACTGTTTTGAGCAGGAGAAAAAGTGTCTTGATAGGTATATTGCATCAAACAGAATACTTTGAAGGTGACTGAAATTTAAAATTGTAAGAATAAATACACAATTTTTTTTTTTGAGTTGGAGTCTCACTCTGTCACTCAGACTGGAGTGCAGTGGCCGCTCCCAGCCACTGCAGCCTCGACCTGCTGGGATCCAGCGATCCTTCCGCCTCAGCCTTCCAAGTAGCTGGAACTACAGGCGTGCGCTACCACACCCAGCTAAATTTTGATTTATTGTAGAGATGAGGTCTCACCAAGTTGCCCAGGCAGGTCTTGAACCTGCGGGCGCAGGCAATCCACTCACCTTGGCCTTCCAGAGTGCAGGATTACAGGCTGGGCCATGGATCCCGGCCAGTACACAATTTTTAATAAATAAGTTCCTTTTTGGGGGGTCCCTTCTTGTATTTGTAGTCTGCCTTATATTTGGCAGGCCATTCAAGTGTTTCCAAGTTGTTACTTTATAATTGTCCATTAACTCTTTTTCTTATGTTAGACACTTAGAGTCTTTCTTTCTTTCTTTCTATTTTGTCTTTTTGCATTGTACAAATGATTCTCTGGTGAATAGCATAATGCCTTTTCTTTTTAAAAACACTTAAAATAATTTTTTTTTAGGATAAATTCCTAGGAATGACAGTACCGGATTAAAGGCTGTGAATGCTTTTTGGGGTTTTGAAATACATTATCAATCTGGAAAAGCCAAATGACAGACCTGTTTTTTATTTTTATTAATTTGTTTATCTTTAATTATTTCATTTTATTTTTGAGTAGGGTGTCCCTCTGTCACCCAGGTTGGAGTGCAGTGGCACAATTCCTGCTCACCATAGCCTTGACCCTTTGGGCTCAGGTAATCCTTCTGCCTCGGCCTTCTGAATAGCTGGGATTACAAGTGTGCACCACCATGACCAGCTAATCTTTAAGTTTTTTTTAGAGACAAGATCTCATTATATTGCCCCGGCTGGGCTCAAACTCCTGGGTTCAAGCAATCCTCCTGCCTCATCTTCCCAAAGTGCTAGGATTATAGGCATGAGCCACCATGTCCGGCTTCTATTTTTATTTTGCATTAAATGTTTATCCCTGTTTCTGAGTCAGTGGTTAAACACTGCATATTCAGAAAGGTCTCTGGACTGTCCAAGTTACTACCAGGACCGATAAAAATGTTAAGGCTAAGCATTCATTCCTTCTCTTGTCTGCCGAGGGTGAAGGCACTGAGGAACAGTGGGGTTGAAGTAGGAGGCCTGTCCCCTCCTTCCTGCCTCCTCACATCACTCAAGATAGTTGGGATCTGAAGTGCCTTGTTTGTTTTTGCAGGCAATGTTGTGAACATTCAGACGGGCCATTGGGTTGGAAAGCAGAGTGGCTTGGGTGCTGGGCTGGACTCCTTCTACGAATACCTCTTGAAATCTTACATTCTCTTTGGAGAAAAAGAAGACCTAGAAATGTTTAATGCGGCATACCAGAGTATTCAGAACTACTTAAGAAGAGGGTATGTCTCCTTAGTGTCTTCTGTTGCCTTGTAAAGCAAATAGAATGCATTCTGAAATGAAATGTCCATACATTCTTTTAACATAAACTCACAGGATCAGTTCATCTCTGCCCTCACCTCACTGCCTCCTAGCTGTTTTTGAGTCACTGGGGGTGAAGAGCTGTATTAGCTGTCTGTTGCTGCATAGCATAGTATCCTAAAACCTAGTGACTTAGAGCAACAAACATCACATCATGCAGTTTCTGAGGGACAGGCATCCAGAAGCAGTTTTGGCTTAGGATCTCTTGTGAAGTTGTTGTCAAGCTGTTGGCCAGGACTGTAGCCATACCAAGGTTCAAATAGGACAGTAGGATCCCCTTCCATGCTCACTCATGTGGTGGTTGGCAGCCTTCAGCTCCTCAATGGTTGTTGCCTGGAGGTCTCAGTTCTTTGCCACTGGGGGCAGCACATGGCAGTTGGCTTTCCTAAGAGTGAGTGATCTGAAACAGAGAGAGAGGGACCAAAATGGAAGCCACAGTGCTTTCGTGACCTAATCCGGGAGTGATATGCCAATATTTCTGCTGTACCATTGGTCACCCAGACCAACCTGAGACTGTGGGAGGGGACTATGCATGGGTGTGACTACTAGAAGTAGGGGTTAGTGGCCATCTTGGAGACAAGGGCTTACACACGTTCCCAGAGTTTGACTGTGATTTTAATTGTAGATACAACTGCAATGCAGGGCAGTTGAGTTATTTTGGTTCTTTTACCAATCCACAGAATTGTTAGGCTTGATCTTTATACTTGAAAGGAAAGACAGTTTCTTTTCCCTCTGCATTTGTTTAAAACAACATTATTTACAATTTCTTGGTTCTTGTATTCAGGATGGCAGGAGAGAGAGAGGGCCATTCGAATCTGCTATTCGTGGCTTCTACCTTGGTGTCACTCTCTCTTCCTCGGTCTTTCTTTGTATGCATTTATGTATTAAGTGGCCAGTGCAAGACATAGATACTGAACTTGCTGCTTGGTTGGATTTTCTTGGACCCATTTCTATATTAGCTATTGTAGGAACCACTCATGTGAGTGCTGTGTTTAAGAAAGAAGCCTTTTGACTGGAACTGAGTCATTTTTGCTTTTCAAAACACCAAACTAACCCCCAAGGATCTTGCTCTGATGCATTGCTCCAGGTCCATGCCACAGCACTTCACTAGAGAAGATAAAGGAGGTGCCATGCTTCCTTGTTCAGGTCCAGTTCAATGTAGGTCCACATTATGTACTAAATTCTGTTACATGCCAAGATTTCTGCAAAATACAGTGAAATTCTGATAATGGCTGAGTTGAGAACTTTTATTTTGTGGTAAATGTTATCTTCTGCTAGTGTCTAGTATAGTCAGAGGCAGTTTGTCTCTGGAAGTTTAAGGAATGAGTTAGGAGAAAAAGGTAATGTTGATTTTTGTTTTAAATGAAAGTAGCAGGGGCTGTGGAGAACAAAGCAGGTCTGTTGGTGAGCTTTCCCCCCATCTCTGAATGTGCTGCTTGGGTTTGTAGGCGGGAAGCCTGCAATGAAGGTGAAGGAGACCCCCCACTCTACGTCAATGTGAACATGTTCAGTGGGCAGCTGATGAACACCTGGATCGACTCTCTGCAGGCCTTCTTCCCTGGGCTGCAGGTATTTGGCCATCAGATTTGCTAAAAATAAGCAATCATTGGAAAGGGCCTTTGCCCTTCTCCCGTTCTTTTTTGGGGGTGGGATGGGATGAGGGGATTACCAGAGCATTTTCTGTCCCCTTTGGCTTTGGTAGTTAGTAGCACATGTCTTGATTATTCTGTCTGTGAAATTATTTCCTGGAATATTGATCAGAGCCATACTACATAAGTATAAAACCATACTTGAAAAGCAACTATATGTGAATTTTGGATAATCCATCTCTCAGTTTTTTATTCTTTGTTCGTTAGTACATTTGACCTCGTTTCCTATTCAGCTCATATCTATTTGGCATTGATGGCCAGTCGGGGAGCATCTTTTTGTTTGGGTGTCACTTTTGTTGGTTTTATCTTCAACCATGCTTGTAGGTAAGATTAGAACTGGGGGTAGAGGAGAGCCCAGGGCCTTTGTGTCACGTCTTGCCACTTTGGGAGGTGCTCTCGGCCTGATGCTTGTGTCCTCTCCTCAGGTGCTGATAGGAGATGTGGAAGATGCCATCTGCCTCCATGCCTTTTACTACGCTATATGGAAGCGATATGGTGCCCTCCCTGAGAGGTATAACTGGCAGCTGCAGGCTCCTGATGTTCTCTTCTACCCACTGAGACCAGAGTTAGTGGAGTCCACATATCTCCTCTACCAGGTACTAGAATTTAGTAAACAACAGTTTGAATTTAGACCCTAGGAAGACCTGTAGCAATTGGTTCTTAATGAGCATTTGCTGACTGATGTAGAGTTGTGTTGTTTCATGGTGACACTGATAGTTAACACCTGTCTGTAGTCTTGTTAGCATTCAGGGTCATTGTGGCTTCATAGCACAGAAAAGGCACCTGCAGTCAAATATGTTTTTACCCTTATATTTTGCAAAGCTGAATTGTGTTTTTACTATGGGATTTATATCTCTCATCTTTAAATATTAAAGAAGAAGGTTTTGTGCTCAGGTGTGTTCCAAATTTATTTGACCAAATAACCCTTTTCTGGGATGCAATTCTGCATCAGTGTACTGTAGAACCTTGGTCTGTGTAACAATTATTCAGACACAAAGAAAATTCTTTTTCTTGATTGTAAAGGAAGTCCTTTGAGATTTATCTGAATGCCTATTTTTGTTTAATGTCAAAAACATATAGCGTTCATCTTTTGTGAAATTACTTTGGTGCCAGAGGGAATGCCACTTTAACTGTGAAATGTCTTCTCCCCGACAGTGAAAGCCAGATATTTATACTTCTGTGCGTGCCATACATATATACACACTGAGAGTCCTCATCCACTCACAAGTAGAGCAGCAGCAGCTTGTTGACTTTCCAGGAAGCTGGCCTTCAGTGCAGTTCATAGACCTGTCACAGACTCTGACAGCAGCAAGCCCTAGCAAGGGGAACCTGGTTTTGCAAGCCTTGGTAGTAGGTTTAGTACTGTGGTTTGCATTTATTCAATAATTTTTATACTGAATCCTTGCCATTTACTTCTAGGAGAAAAGGGGAAATTCTACTAGTCTGGTCATAGTCCTTATGCCTAAAGAGAGACCTCATGAGTTTTAGGTAACCTCTCAAAAGAGGGAAGAGATGATATCTGCACATTTGGCCTCTCTGAACCCAGTGCAGGGTGAGGCTGGACACACTCTTGAGAGTGGCATATCGACTGCTGTCTGATTTTTCCTCTTAAGTATAGTCCTATTGTCTGTGAGTTTATTCGTTCTTGTTTCTGTCACTGCCTCTTTCCCATTTTCAGCTTCCTCCTTGCATTGACTATTTTCTTAGGATCCAGAGGAATCTTGTGCTGTACAGCTTTATCCTCTGAAGCCACACCCTGTGCACTTTTAATCCAGAGACAGCTAACCTTGTTGTTGTTTACTTTTGCTACTGTAAACTGGCAGTAGGCATGAGTTAAAGGTGATCTCCAACTTGGAACCTGTTTGTTGGGTACAAGTCTTGCCTTCCCAGAGAATTTTTTTTGCCCTAACAAAATCATCCTAGAGTGTGTGGCAGAAGAGTAAGCGACCCAAGGAAACTCTGGTTTCCTAGGGTGGCTAGAGGGGAGGGTGTGTGGGGTGGGCCGTCCTTTAGATACTTTCACAAGTCTTGATGTTACCAGTAACCTTTCCTTACAGTGCTGTAATGGGAATAGGGACAAGGTCCTGTTTCCTGTGCCTGCGTCTTAAGTTTCTAGAGAGTTCTGGGGCAAGATAGAGGTTGGATTTGTTCTCAGATTGGTATTGTCAAGATGGACATTGTTTTATTTCTGACCATGATGGGAATCAGGAGAACCAAAGCAGAGTATTGTTCTACCCTGGAACAGACTGTCTTAACCCTGGTTAAAGTTAAGCAGATCATAGGTTTGTTTGACATGAACTGACAGAATATCTTACACTTCATGACCCTGCAAGATAAAGTGAATTGGGCCCTGTTTCTTCAGAACTTTGACTGGTGGACTCATCTCCTTGGGGAATCCCTGCAGTCACTGTGATGCTTGTTGATGACATGTCTCCCATGCCCTCACTGGATCACATTCTCTCATGTTTTCTCTAGGCAACCAAGAATCCCTTCTACCTCCATGTAGGAATGGATATTCTGCAGAGTTTGGAAAAGTACACAAAAGTCAAGTCAGTTTTCTAAGTTTGTTCCTTTTTCTGTCAGCCACTTTTGGTTTATTTTGAATTGTTCTGGGGAAATATTATCATAGTTTGCATTTTAATTTTTAGACTGATCATTGCTAATTTTGTAGAGAAATTGTTCACCTTTTGGTGTACTAGGATATCTCCATCATAGTAGGAATTAATTTTTTTGTCCCCCTTTTTCTCTGTTGGGTTCCAGCAGATTATGTGTGTGTGTGTGTTTTTTTTTTTAAGTAATCGAATTCCCCTAGTTATACAAATAATACATGCATTAAAACATCTAGGAAGTATAGAAAATATAAAGAGATAGAATATTATCTCTACATACAGAGATAACCATATTATCTCTACATACAGAGATAACCATAGTCAGTTTTTAAGTATATATACTTATAGTCTTTCATACATATATATGATGCTTGTATATATGCATACATTAAAAAAAAGCCTGTATTTCAATTTTATGACCTGTTTTGTTTTTTCTCCCCACTATTAAGTATTTTCTTGCAAAATACTATTTTAGGGTATCCAGATAGTAAGTTCTACAAGTTTGGGAACTAAAAATTTAAATCAGTTCTACATTTTTTCATCTAAATTTGTTCTTGGCACCATGCTATGCTTTTGGTCAACATCTTCACTGCTTCCCCACACCTGCCTGCAACTTGCTTATGATTTAGCAGCCAGAAGACTTTAAGATAAATTGCAAACAACCCAGTCTATAAAAATGTTGAGCCCTTCAGCATAAACATAGATTGTTTTGCATATGATGTTGGATGATCTGGTTGATTATTCTGATAAGAAATATATCTAGGCTGGGTGTGATGGCTCTTGCCTGCAATCCCAGCACTTGGCCGGGGCGGGGTGGGGGGGGGAGCCAAGAGGATTTCTTGAGCCCGGGGGTTTGAGACCAGCCTGGACAACTTGGTGAGACCTTATCTCTGCAATTAATATTTAAAAAAAACACAAAATAATTGCTCACTCTTGGAGGAAAAACAAAACAAACTAGCTGGGTATGGTGGCACATGCCTGTGGTTCCAGCTACTTGGAATGCAGAGGTGGAAGGATCACCAGAGCCCAGCAGGTTGAAGCTGTGGTGACTGTGAGTGTGCCACTGCACTCCAGTCTGGGTGGCAGAGTGAGACTCTGACTCTAAATAAATAAATAAATAAAATATGTCTATTTCTTAAATGAATCACTGGGTATACAGGAAGAGAGGCAGGACTGACTGGATGATTGTTTTGTAGGTGTGGGTATGCCACGCTGCATCATGTCATCGACAAATCCACAGAGGACCGGATGGAGAGCTTCTTTCTTAGCGAGACCTGTAAATACTTGTACTTGGTATGTGTGTTGCAAGATTAACCTGAGAAGAGGTAGTACTGCTTCGAGCAAGCATTTGTGCAATCTTCTATCTGACAGATATTATGGGGCAAAACCACATGCTGGACATTGTGCATTCCAGGGATATAGGCACTGTCAGAACACAAGGATATTGCTGTCTTCCCTCATGGCTTCCAACCTCATGGAGGAGTCATTTGTCCAGTAAACAAAGAAATAGACTTATGATTACAAACGGTGCAAAGTGCTGGTTGATTGGAAAAGGCTGCTGTGAGGGAGAGAGCAGTATTTACAGCTCTTTCTTACTTGTCTTGCTTTCTGTGATCTTGGCCAAGACCCACAGCCATGTTATGTCTCTGTCTGTACACAAGTCCTGGGGCACATGCTTGTTTATGTATGGGGAGGGAATTCTTGAATTGGAGGGACCTTTGAGATCACCTAGTTAATGTTCATTCTTCCCCTCACGGGAACTACAGCCTACATAGAGGTCAGGTGATTTGATCAGGATCTTAGGGTGACTGTGGCAGAGCCAAGGGCTGAACTGTAGTCCCGACTCCCTGTCCAGTGCTTTTTGCCTCACTGTTCTGCAGTGTACATATAGGCACTCTCTTGCCCTCTACCACTTTTCTCAGTATGGCTGCATATGAAAGGACACTTCTGGAGGCACAGAGGGACAGGATTTTGTTAGGAAACTGCATAGTGACTGAGAATTTGGACTGAGATTCAACTATGATAAGTTATATTAAGCAGTTCAGTAGTTCCAGGCCTGGGGCTAAGTGAGCCAGTATCACCCCGGGAACCTTAGTAGAATTATAGTTGTACTGAGTCAGAATCTTCAGAACAAGTGGACTCAGGAATCTACAGTTTTGGCAAATGTCTCCAATGCTTCTGCACTAGCCAGTTTTGGAGCTACTGGTCTAATCCTTTAAGACATTACTCATCTGTATCTGGTGTCACTTTTCACAGAAGACCACAGATCAGGTGTGTCCTCCAGCAGCCCATGTCATCTGGCCAGAGGGAAGACAGCTGTCCTGCTGTCAACTCCGTGTTTTGCAGCAGTTCTCGCTCACAGCAGAGGTGACTCAGCTCAGCTGAAGAGGCTTGTCAGAGCCTGGCCACGTGTCTCCATGCAGCAGTCGCTGGTGTCAGAAGGATGTTACAGGGCGAGTTCTGGAGTAAAGAAAGGAGACCCCAGAGAGAATGTTAGGGGATAGAACCCAGAGTCTGGGAGACGAAAACCTGAGATCTACCCCATTCTTCTGGTACTGTGTAAACATCGACAGACTGCACTGAGCCTCATTTTTTTCCCATCTGTGAGATAGTTTAGGTGACCAATAAGGTTTCTTCCACCTTTAAAAATTTCTGTTTTTAGGTAGTCATTCATTCAGCATGAACTGAGGATCTGCCTTCTCCCGCACTAACTTGTCCCATATTGGGTTAGGTGTTCTTTCTGAATGTGCCTGCCACACCTTCTTTCAGTTCTATGCCTCTTGCACTGTTGAGGGGAAGAACTGTGCATCCTTAGAGCCCAACCCATGGTCTGACTCAAGAAATGAGCTGAACATTGGCGGATGTGTTAGGCTCTACGCTAGGCCTTGGGGACATGGTGATGAATAGAATCTGTGCACCCTCCCCATCAGCATTTACAATTTAGGGTTTAGGAATGTGTAAAGTGGGGGGTAGTTCTAGAATTCCAGTACAAGAACTCTTAGGAAAGCATATGAGATCATCTAGTGGGGTTTTATAGTCTTGTACATGAGTCTTTGCCTTGGAATTTCAGTCTCAGGTCTATGTGGGGTGTGTACAAGGTGGGAACAGGGCCAGGCATTTAAGTTTAAATTTAAAAAGTGGTTCTGTTTTGCAATCCAGGCTGGTCACCACAGTTGTCAAGTAATGCCTTTTTGCCCACTTGTCACTGAAAAGCATGAGGCTTAAGCAAATTCTTGTCCCTGAGTAGCTGAGATACTGCTATGAGTTAGTGCCAAATTTGCTACAATTACCGTTTGTAATCTTTTCCCCCCCTTTCCTCTAGCTTTTTGATGAGGAGAATCCAGTACACAAATCTGGAAACAGATACATGTTTACAACAGAGGGACACATTGTATCTGTGGACAAACATCTTCGGGAATCACCCTGGAAAGACTTCTTCTCTGAAGAGGGAGGGCAGGACCAAGAGGGAAAGCCTGTGCACAGGCCTAAATCTCATGAGTTAAAAGTCATCAACTCCAGCTCCAATGTGAGTTGCATTTTCTAGGGATGGTTGCAGTTAGAGGAAGAGAAAAGACTAATTTCTTTGTTGTTTGGAATCCCTGAAAGAAAATTTATGGCGTACTCAGATTGAGTCATTCAAAAAGTTTCCTAACGAGACCATTTACCTGGATGCTGTCAGGATGTAGGGAAAGCACAGGAGCAGTGGCAACATTGTCACTCCGGGCTGCAGGGCTGGTGTAGAGTGGTCACAGGGTAGGGGAGAGACCTGTGGACAGCAGCAGCCACCTCGTAGGACTCACTGCTTGGATCTTACTCTGGTCACCTTGCTGGAAGGAAGCCAGCAGAGTCAGCACGTGACCCTTCCCTGTGTCCCCTGATCTCCTGCTTGAGCTTCTTTTTGGCTGCCCCCACCAGAAATAGAGAGCAAGGGAGCCTGTTGATACAAGTTATCAAACTGCCCTCCCATGGGCCAGAGCAGGTGGACAGTGGAGGATCAGGGATGGAAACGGGAGCAGATGGAAGAGGTTCAGAATCACAACCAGCAGGAGAGGGAAAAAGCATTCACAGTCATTATGGAGGTGCTCTTCAAACTGCTTCAAGTATCTACTTTCATTTAAAGCAGGGCTTCACTCAGCATGCCTAGATTATCTTGAGAAGCAGCAGGAAAGATTTGGAAATAGAAGTCCTTGTGTTTCTAGTGGAAGTCACAGGTGTATGATTTTAATCAAATTGGTTTGGAAGTAAGGAGAGGGAGATATGGACCCTGGATCAGCTGAAGTCTCAAATCTTGTTATCCCACAAGGTCTCAGTGGTCCAGAATTTTGCCACCTACCCATAACCGTCTGCCTTGGTTGGGGAGGCCCTTTCATTGTATACTGTGCTTTTCCATGGTGCCCTGGTGAAGGTCTTCACATTAGTCTGTGTACCGAACTGATAACCCAGGCCAGGGACATAGATAATCACTCCCTGCTATTCCCATCAGGTCATGGAGTATTGATTAAATGGCCAAAAAAAAGAAAAGAAAGGGAAGGGAAAAGAAGAAAGGGAAGGAGACTGAGAGGGAGAAGAGTTAATAATAACTCACACTTACAGAACACTTGCTGTATGTCAGCACTGTTCTAAGTGTACATGTACGTTAACTTATTCTCACAACCACCCTGACGCGTGGGTGCTTTTAATGTTGCCATTTTACAGATGAAAATGGGAAACAAAGAGAGGTTCTGGTCTCATGGTAAAGCTGTGTGGTGCAGCCAGGATTTGGACCAGGCACTGTTATCTCTTTTAGGAAGGAGACATCTCTGACCTGCCACACTCACTGATAGATCTGATCCCATCAAGGCAGCACTGGGGCTGAAGGCTTATCTCAGGGAGCCCAAGTTCTGGATAAACTCATGGCCCACTGAGGAGACCTGTGTTTGTCAATGGTGCTGTTGAAACACAGAGAGGGAGAATCATCTGCCAGAGAAATCAATGAGAGGGAGTCCCTGAGGAGGCTACTTGTAGGATGAGGAGGAGCTTCCCAGGAGGAATGTTCAGGCAGAAGGCACAGCACCTACAAAAGCAGAGGTGGGATAGTGGAGCTGGGACCAAGAAAGGATCTTCCAGTCTCGATCTTGCTGTGGATGAGGAACAGGGCATAGTGAGTTTGAGTACAGAGCATAGGGAAAGTATTTCTTTGTGGAGTGTATTGAATGTATGTGGACAACTATTTCCAGGGATAGCATTTTTGGTTGATTCTCAATATCTATATATAAAAAAAGAGCCTTTAATTAAAAACAAAAAAATCTTAAACATGTAGGATCTAGTTTTGATTGAGAAGAAAAATATGGTCTTTTCACATAGTTGAAGCATTTTTGTTTTTTTTTGCTTGGTTTTGTTTTTCATTTGTTTGCTTTGTTTTATTTTGTTTTTGAGCTGGAATCTCACTCTGTTGCCCATGCTGGAATGCAGTGGATGTTCACAGCCACTGTAACCTTGGCCCACTAGGTTCAGGTGATTCTTCTGCCTCAGCCTTACAAGTAGCTGTAACTACAGGCATGTACCACCATGCCCGGCTAGTTTTTTGATTTATTGTAGAGACAAGATCTTACCAAGTTGCCCAACCCCTGGCTCAGATAATTCTCTTGCCTCGGCCTCCCAAAGTACTGGGATTACAAGTGTGAGCCACCGCACCTGGCAGATGAAGTGTTTTCTGAAATTCTAGGTGTATGAAGGACCCAAGGGATGTTGCTTTTAGTCCTGGCCACTAAGCACTTGCTGTGGGTGTCTGTTATCCTCCTGGAGCTATAAAGTGAGAATGTCAAATTATATCCGTGGTCCTCAGCTGGGGTGATTTTGCTCCTGAAGGGACATTGGCAGTGCCTGGAGACCTTTCTGATTGCACAAGAGGGGCAGGAGTTGCCTCTAGCACCTAGTGGGAGAGGCCAGGCCTGCCACTCACCATCCTGCAATGTATAGGGCAGCCCCACAGCAGAGTTGCCTACCCCCAAGTGTCAGAGTTGGCAGACTGAGAAATCCTGAGTTACATTGTTTAACCACATTTGTACACTTTGGGGTGACATAGCGAGACCCCGTCTCAAAACAAAACAAATACAAAATAATTATAATTAATAAAAATTAATTATGATTCAAAGCTCACATTTTGCCTCCTTTTTGTCTTTTTAGTGCAATCGTGTTCCTGATGAGAGGAGATACTCCCTGCCCTTAAAGAGCATCTACATGCGACAGATTGACCAAATGGTTGGCTTGATTTGATCTGCTCTCCTTTTTGTGGCCTCATCTCAAACCATACTGAACCCACTGAACCCGGACCATGCCAAAGTCCAGTCAGAGGTGGAAGTGGATGGAAATCTGACCGTCCATGATGGTGTAGAAATTCTATCTGGCTCCTCACCCACGTCTGGTTAATTCTTGCACACTTCAGTATTTCTCTTCTGCTCAATAAAATGCCCTGTTTTTATTAAGAATATAATTTTAAATAAGAAGGCACGTGGAAATTGGCTTCTTATGTCATGCTGATGTTATTAAGCACAATAGATGGGGCATTTTGGGGTTGGTGTTCACAACTTCATACTCTAGAGCCTAAGTCCCTTCTTTTTGCTGGCACCTGCTTTATTGCAGTATTATTATTTTAACGTAATTTTTATTAATATGATTATTTTGTATTTGTTTTGTTTTGAGATGGGGTCTCGCTGTGTCACCCAGACTGGTCTTGACCTCCTGGATTCCAGCGATCCTTCCATCTCAGCCTCTCGAGTAGTTGAGATTACCGGCATGAGCCACCATGCCTGGCTAGCTCCTTCTTTGTTGGAGGGTTGAGAATGAAATTTCTGTGCAGAGGACTTGAGGTTCACTTGGTCTTCCTACTTTGAAGTCATCCATTCTCTTATTGGGTAATTGGGCTCCCCAAGCTGCCCAGCTGATTTCAGATCACATGGGGGAGAACATCATCTAGTTCTTCATTAACCCCCCTGGTATCTTCACAGTGTTATATATTATTTGCTTAAGAATAATGGTTTTGCCGGAATTCTTAACAGTCTCTTAAGTTATTATGTCTGATATAATAGCTTAACTATTAGGATGGCAGTTTGCATTTGTTTTGAACATGCACTTACCTGAGGATAGTTTCCCATAGTTCCAGAACCAGGTGCCTTTTAGGGAGAGAAAAATACCTAAGTTTGTCTGAGCTTCCATCTTTCTCATATTTTCTAACCAAGGATTCTCCATTCTGGCTGTTTTTGGTTAGAGTTTTGTTTTTGTTTCCTGTGTCTAGTGCCAGTTAGCTAAGTCAGGGAGAAAGAAATGAGCAGATGACTTTCTAGCATTCTTGATCTATCTCTCTGTGACATATAGGCTTTAGATTAGTGCCTTATGTTAAGGGTTTTGGTTTGGGCCAGTGGATGTTGCAGCTACTACTAGTGGTTTCTGTTGTCACCTGGTGGGACCATGGTGAAAAGGAGATGGGGTGGGTGTTAGGAAGAATCTGGAAATTGCTTGGCTAGTCCTTGCCTTGCAACCTGTTTGTTTTAAGTAAGCTTATAGAAGGAGGAAGTTGTGCTGAAACAACTTTATTTTTTTTTGTTTTTATTTCCTTAGCCAGAACAGAAGTGTTTCTCTTTGAAAGTGCACTATTCACACAACCGTTCATACACTGCAGAGCTGGACTTGACCCCCAGCCTGGCTTTCATGCAGCATCATGGACTGAAATGCAAACCAGTAGAGAGCGCAGGAAATCTCTTGAACACCTCCAGCTCACACATCACGTTTCTTACCTGTCACTGCATGTTTTAAATGATTTCATTTCAGTCTTTTTAAAGTTAGAAGCAAGCACCATCTAAGGTTACATTGCATTTATAGTCAAAAGGGAGACATTTTATTTCTCCTTAAAAATTTAAGTGTTACTGTTTTTAAAACGGATATATGATTCAGTTCTTTGAGATTTTTGAAAAGGGATTTTCAATAACAAGTTTGTTATCTCTTTCAAACATTTACTATGCAAATTGTCTTAAAGTAGAAAAAATTGAATACCTCTTTTTTACCTTGTTTTCATTTCAGAAGCATTATTCTGTTTATCAACAGTGTCTCATCTACTGAATAGAAAACTATTTGAGAATACTATGTATATCTTCAATGTTTTCATTGACTCACTAAAAGCATCAAGTCCACATGCAGATACACATGTGAGTGTACCTGTACTTTTTCTCCAGGCAGATAGAGGTGGGACTGTTAGTGACCCATTTGGGAGAATGGGCATATCAGGGAAGAAAGTGAGTTCTTCATGCCTTCATTTCTTTTATGGCACCCCCCTCTCTCTGGCCTCTTTAGCAGCAGTGGTATGTGAGTACTCCAGTGTTCTCTCCCCAGCTGGGTGCTTTGCCTGTCACTCTCAAGTCAGTGTGGGCGTTTCCTCCCTGCATGCTCTTGGAGTAGGGAACTTTGCTGGCAGCACCATCACTCCTTGAGTGCTACAGATATACCTCAGGGGCTTTGGGCTTTTATATTAAGTCACAGACTTTCCTGACTTTTGGGTCTAGGGGTTAATTAATACCAACTGGTGAGACTGAGATTGAGTTGCTGCGTATGATTCCTGGTTATTGAGCTTCTAGACTACACAGCCTAATGTTTGATGCTATGTAGTCAGTGATTTGTGGGGCTAGATGCCAGAATGCTGTCTAGTACCAGTTATGAAAAAAAAGTACTTTGAGCCAACCTCAAAGCTCAGTTGTGTCCTTTTTGAAAACCAGTATGTCAACAACTGTGATACATCCTGCAGGGCTTCTGTTATTTCTTCTATTCTGCATTCTAAAATATTTAGTAGGGGAGGGATAAGGAGGGGGAATGCCAGAGAAATTCCCTTGCTTGGTGTTTTGTCTTCAGATTGAATGGACTTCAGCCTTTGCAGTGAGCCTGGACCATCTTCATATTCCCTTGTTTAACTTGTGTCTGGTGTCAGCTTTGGTCAACATAATGAAAATGATTCTGTAGAATTGTTGTTGAGAGCTGTCTCATGGCTGGGCTTGATGGAGTTAATTTTCCCATAACAAAGTTTCAGATCATTCCAAGGCTGGTCTAGCTACTTTAGGTGATGGGATTGAGGAATCCATTCTGGAAGAGCAGGTGACAAAGGAAGGGTTTGCTAGCTCTCCAATTGCATTGGCCTTTGTGAAAAAACAGCTTCTGTTTTCAGACCTTTTGTTCTGTTTTTTTTCCCCTAGCTCTTCTGCTGGAGCCTGCTTCTTGTAACTGAATGAATCCCCAGGTTCTGATGACGACCTATGCTTTTCTTGTCCTGGATTGTGCACTGTGCATACTACACTTAATATAGTTTTCTATGTATCTGGAAAATGCATCAAGGTGGTGTCCATGCAGATGACTATTGGAGGGGGTTCTGTAGTCCTGGTTTAATGAATGCAGTTGTGCAATCTGAGGGCCTTGATTCCCTCTCCCCCTTCTCTCTCACCAAAGGAAAACATCTCTCTTAACTGTTTCTTAGCTCAATTTACTGAATGATGGCCAACTGTAATTCCTTACTTTGGATCTTGTAGACTCAACATCAGACATTCCTTTCTTTCTGGAGGGCTCCAGAGACCTTTCTCTTTTGACAGTTTTGTTTTGTCTTCTGACAAGGCCAGAAATCTTTTGTTGAAATGTAGTGCTGGTTAAAAGGTAGAGCTGAATAATTGTCTCAGCCACAGGTTGAGCAGGGACTTCAGAAGAAAACCCCAAGCTTTCCTGTTTCATTCTCAGACAGCCAGCTCCTCCAGCTCTTACTCCAGTGCCTCTTCCCTGCAGGGCAGGGACCTCTGTGAAAGTGAGAAGGTGGGCAGGCCAGGCCATGCCATGTGGCCCAGGCTTCCCAGTGCTCAGGGTTATGCTCCTGCTTGAATTGGGATGTGAATCTGGTGAAAATGGCAAGTACCTGTGGAACTCCCTGATTCACTACCCCCTTCCCTCTTTCTGAGAGGCAGAGGAGTAATATTTTTAATGGTTATTTTGTTTTAGTTTTGAATAGCAAAACAAGCTCGTTTTTATTTATTATGCGCAAAAAAGTAAATCTGTTTTTACAAGAAATCTAAAGTTGGAAACTCTGGGAAAACTTACTGAAATACATGAATGCTTCTCTCTGTAATGTGCAATATGCTTTGCAACTATAGATGATATTTTATGTTTAATCTGTAAATAAGAAATGTATTTAAGTTAAAAGGGAGCTTTTTGTAAAAGGACCAAATGTTCTTTTATAAATGTAATAAGAAATATCTTGCTCTTTGAAATTTATTAGGATTTTTATGAATAATTTTTATTAAAAGATTCTTTTTTTTTTGAGTTGTCATGTTTCTCCTTTACTTATTCATATACATATTACTTGCTCAACAAACAAGGGGAGAAAACACTCTTTAAAGGAAACCGTCCATCTAGATGAATAAAAATCTTGTGTTGTTTTTTTTTTAATGGCTAAGCCCTGAGTAATGCCTTCCCCATGGAATTCCATTCTGTTTTTGTCTGTCACACCCTTCCATGTAAATATTCTTCACATGTGGATGAGAACCATTTTCAGGATTTGTCCCATCCCTAGCCTTCCCCTCTACCTCAGCCTCCTTTCTCCTGGGCACTGACTCTTTCTCAGTTATGGTTGCCAATTACCTGAGCATGTCTGGGATCTCAAAGCAGTTTTCTGTGTTACCTAAAGCAAGGCGCCTCATTTCTTCTCTTCTCTTAGAGGTTAAGATGGGAGCAATGGCCCAGGGGAGGCATGAGGGCAGAAGGTTCCAGAGACCAGGCCACCTCCCTTCATGCCACCAGTGTCTGTGGTGGGATCTTGAAGGAGAGAGCTGCTTATTCCCCATGACATCTTGGTGTCACAGGCAATTCTGATGGGCCTTTTAAAATATCTTGAAATGCAACAGGGCAGAGGAGTGAGTTCTGAGGTTGGGAGTACCTTGCTAACATTATAGCTCTGTTATGAGGTGTGGTGGGGTTGTGTTTGTAAGGTCCCATAGGTTTGTGATCCTCTTGACAAAGCCAAGTAGGCATAGTAGGCCAAGGGGCCAGGTGAAGAGCCATAGGGACCGCCCTGGCCCCCACCTTCCCTCTCCAGGATGCCTTGATAGAGTGAGCACAGGCCCTCACTATCCATGGAGCTGAACAGTCCTGTGTGAACATGGCAGTGGAGTGTTGGGGTGGAGAGTAGGGACTCTGGACCACACCGTATGGAGAACAATCTTAGCTCTACCACTGGCTTGCTGTGTGCCTTGGATGAGTTATACAGTCTCACTGGCCTCAGTTTTCCTATCCACTATATGGGATAATTATAGTCCATACTCATAGGATGGTTGTAAGTCATGAGTGGATTAATTTGTATAAAGTACTTAACATGGTGCCTAGCATAGTAGGCTCTGCATGTCCCTTTATAATTATGGTCAAGTTGGATTTGACACCCAGGATAAGCCCTAGGGTGTAAACAGGGACCCTGGA